TTTGCCGCAGGAGATTATCTCATTCCCAACGGGAAAATCTGTTATAATACAACCCAAAAAAATATTGATGATCAGAATTACTTGAAACTTGGTATTAATCTCTTCAATAAAATGAAATAAATATGTGTTTTAGCATTTTTCGAAATTCATCCCATAAGGGGGTAAAATAGAGGATGAAAGTTTGTATACAACTTTCCTTTTTAGATATTTTTTTAGTTATAACGCGAGCGAAGCCGCGGGTTCTGCTAGTACTCTATAATTATTAATTGTCACACCATTTTAATATTCATGCTTGTAAATTAAATACTTAAGTGTATAAATTACTTTTAATGTAATGAATGATGTTTATTCATATTTTATTATATATTCAAGAAATTATCGTACAAAAATTCTGGTCAACCCTTATTAGGGTAACCTTATCTATACTAATACTATAAAGAGGCAGAGTTTGTTTGTTTGAACGCGCTAATCTCAGGAATCTGATTAGAAAAAATTAAATTTAAGAAAAATTGATTTTGCATTAGATAGCCCGTTTATTTAGTAAGGCTAATAATCTATCTATTCCATACTAACAGTTAAAACGTGCCTTGGGACGAACTCGGGCGAAGCGAGGGTGAACCGCTAGTACTTGGATAATTTCAATAGGTCTTAGTTCAGTTACTCATTAGAGTGAGAATGATTAATTATCTAATCAGTGTGTTCAACATTCTAAATATAGTTTTTAAATGTAGTTTATTTTCTGCATTGAATTTAGCCAAGTGTACAGCCGCCTTAAGATTTTCCGTCGCGTCGACTAGGTCACTTGGGCAAGGGACTGGTTTTACAACCTGCAAGTTTCCGCTAAATAAGTACACTGTTATTATATAACTATTCATTTCATAATATATTTTCTTACGTGGCCATCGTAAGATGTGGCAATAGGGCAGATATCTGAGTAATACTTTAGATTTTGCAGCCGATTGTCGAGGGTTTGACTCCCGAATTGAATAAATACTCTATAGAGATATTTGTATCGCTAATTAGCAGTACTATACACTATAAGCCAAAGGCAACAATTTGAATAAATAATTACCATAAACGTATTTTATATTTCATAAGCATCTTGGTATATTTAATTAAGCACAGAAGATATGAGAGAGAGAGAGAGAGAGAGTATTCGCTCAACTCTAAAATAACAGAAGCCTGATTTATGTTTCATTGCTGCTTGCTATTTAAATATTTATGTAGAACCCGGTAAGCAAAAATTTTCCTGTGAAAGATCTAAGAGATTTCCAGGAGAATATAAGTACATAAACAAATTTCATCAAAATCGGTAAAGCTTTAAACTTTAACAGACAGTAAGAAAAAAAGAATTCATCCGTAAACACGCAAGCCGGAATTCTATAGCTATTAGGTATTATAAATTTTGTTTTATTTTTTTATTTTTATTTATTTATTATAAAGGTCAATGTCATATGGTAACTATTTTGATTAACAATAAGATAGATTAAATAATTAATATAGTAGTTTTTTTTACATTATGGAATATGGATATGATAATGTTTGAATATTTTTTGTAATATGACTTTGGTTATTAAAATTTCTAATAATAATAATACAATAGGGTATATATTCAAGAGATTTTAAATACATTTTTTACCTCTGATACTTTATGGTCTGACATTATACTACAACGGTCAGTCATTATTTTCTCACTTAGTTTGTAATTAATTCCATAAAATTTTAATCGAAAAGTGCCAAATAAGCGAGCGAAATTCGCGAAACGCACCACCAATTACCATTGTTCGAATCGAAGCATGACGTGATATGACATGTTATGAGCAGTGTTGCCGTTTTAGCGACTTCGTCTTTAGATCTAAAGCTATGTCCATACCAGTGCGCTTTCATGTTTATCTTGCGTGTTCAACTTTCAATTCGTCTCGCGTCAAGCGTATGCAAAATATTGATTGCCTTAAGACGCATGTAGCTTATCGTCTACACCTGTGCGCCCTGGTCAGTCGTCAAGATAGACGTGTGAGCTTGTAGCTATTTGTGCGACATATTTAATATTAAGTACAAGGAAAAAACGCAAAAAAAGAAATATCTGGATGAAAGATTATTTGAAGAAACGGAACAACAAGAAATTGAAAGATTTAGAGCTAAACAATGGCATCATTTTTAAAAACTTCACACGAATGTCTAAAGTCACTTTCAACAAGCTTTTGAAAAATGTAAATCTAAAAATTACGAAACAAAACACTTATTATCGAGAAGATAAGTTATAAAATCTATATATAAAAATGAAACCCCATTTCTCCTGGTCACGCTATATCTTTGAGAACGGCTGTACCGATTTCCACTCATTCATCTTTTTTTTTAATTGTTTTCTAATACATATTACTTGTTATTTATATATTAAGAAAATATAGTATATAATAAAACGCTCGGAATGTTCCACGTGAACCCACCAGAGACGGATCAGCGTGCGCGTATGCGCTGTTGTTGAACTAGTTTTAGCGTATGCGTCATTGCATGCGCTATGACGCTTCATGCATGCGTCAGATAAAAACGCAAGATGAACATGAAAGCGCACTGGTGTGGACATACCTTAAAACATTTTATCTTTTAGTAACAATATCTATAAAATGATTTTTTTAGCGTTTTCCGTCATCGTAATAGCGATAAAAAGAGAAAAGCCTTAACTAATAACTGTCTATACATATTATAAGCAGCACTGAACGTGCCCTGTGAGCGCACCATCCAAAGCGCGCGGAAAATGGGGGCGTTGAAACAGGTCAAGTTTAATCGTTGTTTTATATATTATTTTAAAAATTAATTTAAACACTTTCAACAGTATTTATACTTTTTTAATATGTTATTAATTATAACGAAGCGAAAAGAGAATTAAACAAATAAAAAATATATGTATATTCCCTATTGTATAACTTCGCTTATAACTTTTCTGATGCTACCAATGAATATTTCACAATATTAGTCTAAGAAATTAACATTTTATTACTTTCATATTGTTTTACTACCATTAATTTATAGAACACAATATAAAAAATAAATAATAGTGAGTAATTGTGCTCTTATCGTGTCCTCATGTAATGTTTATAAGATATGTAAATAAGATATTATATTATACTAGCATTGCCCGCGGCTCCGCCCGCGTTCAGATGACCAAAAACCAAATTCTTAGGTTTTACATATTAGTATACAGTACATTGTAGTTTTTTTTCTTTTTTAGTTAAAAAGTATTCTATATGTTGCCCGGATAACCAGCATACTAAATTTAATCAAAATCCCTCCAGTGGTTTTTCAGTGATGCGGTAACAGAGACAGACAGGCAGACAGACAAAAAATCTAAAAACTATAGATTCAGTTTCTGAATCGATAATAATGTCTATTTTGATAAGATTTTCAAAAGAATATTTAATGTACAGATTCGGCTTAGTTAGAATTTTATTATATGTATAGATAACATATCGAGCACTGTCTCTGTCACGTGAAGATAAAGGTCAATGTTAACATTAATGTTAACGATTCGGTAAATCTTATGATCATTGCTTATTTCATAAAAATAATATTAATAAATAATTACACAAACAAAAAAAATATAAGAGAATTTTATATACGAGTACAATCAAAATCTTTGCGTAATTTGAATATCTCACGCAAATATGTTTTAATTATGTATTTCTGCGCAATAAAGCTACATGTAGGTAATTAGATATTATTTTTAGATTTTTATCTGCAGTCGACTTACGCAAAAGCAGTTGTTTTGTAAGTACTAAGTGTTCTTTTATACCTATAAACTGAGGGAATATAAAAATATTTTTTATATTATTATTTATGTTTTCCCATAAGTTATAAAAAAATCTTGAATTATTTTTGTTTTATTTTAACACGAGCTACTTACCAGTGGACGCTTGTCACAAAATTATTATTGAACCAGTCCAGCTAGTCGTGAGCAATACGTGATTAAACAGCCAGACTAACGAAATTTTAAGAATTCAAAGCATTTCTCAAGATTAAAATTTATCAATAATATTTAATAAACATCTTTGACAATCAACAATTTTATCATGTGTATTTTACGTAATTGTAGCTAAAACATAAAAGCTAAAAAACTATAAAAATTATTAAAACCACATTAAAGTTAATTTCGTCTTTATGTCCATGATAACTAGAATTTATACATTATCGTTAAATTTTAATGGAAGAGTATGAAATGCAATGGTGTTGGTCACCTTCATAATATGTTTATCTTCCATAGAGTTCCGGTTAGCTTATAGTATTATGACGTAATTAATCAAAGAAAATTACTGTTTGTAGAAACTCCGAGAAATAAAAATACCTTAACGAAGTAGTTAAATTGATTAATTATAATATATTGAAGATAGGATCAATATGTAATAAATGATTACTATAATATTAGGAATTATATACAAACAAATGTGTCAAGAAAATTACTGATATTATTTAGAGTTTTTTTTTAATTTTCATTATTATGTTACCAAGCGGAAGTAAAACGTTGATGGGTACTTCAACTTTCTCCACTCTCAATGAATAAAATTCTTTTTTAAGGCATGAAAATTCAAGGTTGCAAGACCTTTGTTGCGAGCTAGCAATTATGTATATATACAGAGAAGTCATTTCTAAAAGAAATATTCACTCACTCGTACTCAGGCAGCAGCTGCTTTCAAATTCTGTCTCTTTTCTCATCAAAGCTCGAAATTAGTGAGATAATTTGCTGAATCTAGAGCATGATGAGGCTTGCATTAAATTAGAAATGTGCCTACCTACATCTTTAAATTATTTTTTAGAATTTCGACATTTGCATAAAAGTGTCAAATAAACATATATATATATATATCTATATATATATATATATATATATATATATATATATATATATATATATATATATATATATATATATCTTATATCTTGTTTTATGCTTTCTAATAAAATCGTATTAGATTTACTAACTTCAATATAATTTTTATTCTTTCCAGATTTGAGTTACGTCGTACGCTTATAGTATGGAACTCCATGTTAGCGGCGTTCAGCATAATGGGAGCTTGTCGGACACTGCCCGAATTCATCCACGTACTTCGGAACCACGGTCTCTACCACTCTATTTGTGTGCCCAGGTGAGATACACAATTATGTACATACAGCGCGAAATTTTCTATGTAGTTGGCTTGATGATAAAATTTAAAAACTTTATGAAATACTTAATGCTTAAGCGGGAGAGATCTGATTTTGATTATTACTGAAACTGAAATGTAAGTTTTATACATACTTCAGCATAATTAATGCCAAAATTTGTGAGGGAGTGTGTATATGTTAGTTTAAATTACTATTATCGTCGTACCATGTAGTTAACACCACCAGGTAAATTTCTAAAAAATTACTAAATTTCTAAGAAATCTATTGTTAACTGTAACGCCGGCGAGTCCGCGGTCGTGGAGGAATTATAGCCTCCAAATAATAGTAACTTCTGCTATATAACTATGACCGGAACCGTAAGATATGGAAAGAACTAACTGTATTAACTGTTTAATTACCTAAAGCGATTAAAGTAAATTATGTATATATTTCTGATTATAGATAATTACCTAAAGAACAAGTTTGAAAAATTTTCCACTTGTACATTCTACTCTATTATATGATAAATGCACTTTGTGTACATATATTATTTTAATTTGGGTAAAATATTCGCTATTGTGTTTATACGTCAAGGTAAAGAGGTCTTCCGACTCCTAAGCGAGCTACGCGTTGATCAATTTTACTTCGGTTCTAAACTATTTCAAACTTTCCAAAAGCGGACTATCGAGCGAAGTAAATAGTAATTCAAATTGTGTTTTGAATATTTATGTTATTCCATAAAACGCTCAACAATAACTTTAAGAATATTGAAAGGCTTATGTTAAGAATAAATAAAAACTATAAGAACAGTTTTTAAACTGTAAATAATCTATACATATAATAAAATTGTAACTAAGCCGAATCTATACATTAAATATTTTTCGGAAAATCTTATTGAAATAGACATTATTATCGATACAGAGGTCGAATCTATAGTTTTTAGAATTTTTTCACTCTGTCTGTCTGTTACCGCATCACAGAAAAACCACTGGAGGGATTTTGATGAAATTTGGTATGGTCATAGCTGGTTATCCGGATCAACAAATAGGATACTTTTTACCGCGGGAAAATACAAAAACTGCAATGTAAGAGTATAATAATAGTTAAAACCTAAGAATTTGGTTTTTCTTAATCTGAATGCGGGCGCAACCACGGGCAATGCTAGTAAATGTTATAAAAATCTAACAAAAATTTAGATCGAATAGTTATTTAGCGAACCGAGTGTTTAATCAGCCTTTAAAGTTAAACACGTAAATGTATTTTAACAAGATCGTAGAGAATATAAATAGTTAGTGTAAATGGCTAAACTGTTTGTAAGATAAAAATGGAATCACTCATTATCAGTCGATTTTAGACGGTTATTTGATATAGGCCTCTTCTAAGGTGGTCAAGATCTGTGGCCCTTTCCAGCTAATAGCAGACTCGGCAGAAAGAAAATCGATACGTCTGTAAAAATTAAATATATGTATAAAACTTTAAAAATATATATTAATTTGTATGTTATAAAAGTAGGATTTACTATATGATTATTGATAAGTCAATCAAATGTTCTTAAATATTTTCAACCGACTTCAAAAAGGAGGAGGTTCTCAATTCGACTGTATTTTTTTAATAACATAGTTATGGGTATGCGTTTATACATATTTGTTTTTCAACAAACAATAAATGTTTGATAATAAAAATATTTTTTATTAAAATTTCAATTGGATAATTTGACTGCTTTAAGCACTATACAGACATCAATATTCATATATTACATTATATTCATATCTATTACGTAATATCTTATAACATATTTTAAATATTTATATCATATGCGAATTTTAAACGGCAAGTAATAAGTTATTAACTACTTAATTTTGTTATAAAATTCTTATATTTTTCTTTCTAAGACGTTAGCTGTGTAAGACACACAACAACATGTATACGATACACATACCTATTATGTACATAAGTTCTCAATTATGTACATCACTTACGTTGCAATGGCAATCGTCAATAATGTTTTATTATTTACAGAATGATATAATTATGAAATTACATACAATCAAAGTCTTAGAACTTAGTTTTTTCTAAGTAAATTATAGTAGAACTTATTGTTAGTGATGTAACATGTAAAAAAACGACTTTGTTTTTTTTTTCATTATGTTGAAAAAAAACGTAGTATCTTTGTTTTTTCTCTAAATATGGTTTTTTTTTTCAGAAAAAAAGTCTTTAATGAAAAGGTTTTATGGATATATGTTTTCTAATTTCTTACATTTTATTTAAATTACAAACCGAATAAGGTATAATGTATTAATTAAATAAAAAAATATTCTTCCTCTGTGTCAATGTCAGTACCACTTTCAGTATCATTGCCATCAATATCCTTGTCAGTGTCGGAATTTTCACATATAAGCTTGGCTAAGGAAGTGGTAGCCCAGTGGTAACGCGCTCGCTTGGGAAACCGAGTGAAGCGGGTTCAAATCCCGGGTCTCGCACCTCTGATATTTTCACGTGCGAATCATTTCTAACATGATTACTACTTGCCTTACGGTGAAGGAAAACATCGTGAGGAAACCTGCATGTCTGAGAGAACCTAGCAAGTTTTCGACAGACATGTGAAGTCCGCCAACTCGCACTTGGCCAGCGTGGTGGACTATGGCCTGATCCCCCTCGTATTGAAGGGAGGCCCATGCCCAGCAGTGGGACGTCAAAAAGGGCTAAATACACAAGCTTGGCACTATTCAATCAAAAAAGTATGGTAGGTTTAAAAATAGACAGAAAATTCCAATATGAAATCTTAAGGAATATTTTTTTACGGAAACTACCTGAATGATTTTGAATTCTGTACTCTTGAAGAAACATGCTCCAAAAAAGGTGTTTTTTTTTCATGTTTTTTATTTACTTAGATATTTTTTTCAAGATAGAAAAAAAAAACAGTTTTTTTGCAACACTAGTAGAACTACAGTTACTTGAGCTTGTACATAACATATGAATAACTAAAACTACGTGAGTACGAAACCTATCGAAGAAATTGAAATGTCCATATAAGATAAGGCGTGACTTTTCCCGAATGCCTATATATAATAGTCGGTCCGCAACACGTAGGTATGCGATAGGCGTGCGTTAGTTAATATTCTAAACTCGTCGTCAAGCGAAAGTTTACTTTAAAGAATTTTGCATTACCTATATTAGCCCTTATGTTCACTACCATAAGATGCTTGATTTAAAACATGTCCGAAATGTTTTGACTGTGATGATGTAACTGTCAAAATAAAAAGTGTAATTAGAATAAGTGTGTACTGTGGTCATAGATGTATGTATGTTTATGTAGAAATAGTATAGTAGGTATATTTAATTTCATAGAGTGTAATCATTTCATATCGAAGAGTGCCCTAACCCTGTGAAATAATAGTTATCAAAGATCAGTTAACACGCGTTAACTTAATGTCCCTTTTAACCAACATCAATAAATTTTTAATTGAGTTGTATTTTTATTGTTTACTAGCGACTCACCCTCGCTTCACTCGGGTTCGTCCGTAGGTACGTTTCAACGGTATTATATGTTCTGTGATTGTTGATGTGAATTGTGGTTCCTGAGATTAGCGTGTTTAAACAAACAAACTCTGCCTCTATATAATATTACTTATTAGTATAGATATTGTTGAGAAGAAAATGTATGGAGTAGCTATAAACGAAAATACATTTCATATACTATTAAGACAGCAAATTTCGAATACAGTTTTAATAAACGTTATTTTAAATTTTTAACTATATTATAACATGTAATTAAGGTTTATTGCTTTCTTAATACTTCACGATCAACCCGCTTTGGCTTTCTTAGATGTAGAGACTCGAGACCCATATCCCGCGCACTTTGGTATATTATATTGCTATGTTACCAACCTTCCCGGACGTGTACACAATAATTATAAACCTTTTATTGTAATCGATCGATTGATTGTTATCGTTATTGTTTAACTTCTAAAATATTTATTTGACCACTTTTTAAGAGGATTCAAAATCTCGCAGTACATAAATTAGTAGATTAGTCAACAGGTGTGAAACAAAGGTGGCCATTAAGGGCCAAGGTTTGCTTGACACAAAAACATGCTTTACGAAATACCTTAAGCTTATTGCCTAATAATCTATGATTAAATGTATGTGTGTATTATAAATGTATAAAATATGTAGAGTAGTTTCAGGAACTTAAAGAATTAAACGATGTGAAAGCAGGACAAACAAACACACTTTATAATATTAGTATGGATGCATTTAAATAACGTCAACTTTTGTAACCTTGCCTTTATATTCATGAATAAATAATGTTATATCTAATACAGGTTGTATTAGATATTCTTAAGATATTCTAAACAAGTACGGCTTGTTCATTGATGTGTAAATATCTTAAAAACAAGTGTAGAATTATGTGGATTACTTTAGGAAAGGGAGGAAATCGTTTCAGATAGCATAAGGCTTCACTATACATATAATAAAATTGTAACTAAGCCGAACCTGTACATTAAATATTTTTTTGGGAAATGTTATTGAAATGGACATTTTTATCGATACAGAGGCCGAATCTATAGTTTTTAGAATTTTTGTCTGTCTGTCTGTTACCGCATTACAGAAAAACCACTGGAGGGATTTTAATAAAATTTGATATGGTGATAGCTGGTTATCCGGGTCATCATATAGGATACTTTTTTCCGCTGGAAAATATCTAATTTCTGAGAAAAAAATAAAAAAAAACTGCAGTGTAAGAGTATACTAATATGTAAAACCTAAGAATTTGGTTTTTGGTTATCTGAACGCGGGCAGAGCCGCGGGCGATGCTAGTGTTATAATAAATACAAAAGGGCCTCCAGATTTTCATATATGATAGATACTTTATTTATAAGCATAGATATTCATGACTTTTAAACATTGATAAAAGTATTAATAAATGTAATTCATTTATCGCAGTGACGATTTGTATATTATTTTTATAACTCTGCCTTGTTAACATTTAACTGATAAT